AGAAATTTTTGACTTAATTTGAGTCAAATTTTCAGACTAACAAGACAAATAATCTTACACATTCTGAAAATAAGATGATTATTCTTACACAATCTGTTCTTGTTTAGTAAATCAGTCTCAAAACAAGATCAAAAATATTTTTTGGCTGATATAAGGTTTTAAAACTTGGTTTGGTGGACATTTTTTGCAGTGTAAATTTAAAGTTCAACTACGTGGCAAACAATAAAACTGGTTTTTAAGTTGCTAAATATTAAAAATGAGTTGTTAAGTCTAATAGAAACATGGAAAAAATAGGGAATAGATTCATCAAAATACAAATATACTCAATCCTCAGCAGTGTCACTAATCTGAACCTTTAAATTTATCCAGAAACTCAATAAATTGGGGGGGGGACCTATGAAGTAGTTTGAGGTGAGGCTGGGAACAGATCTTAGACCTGCGAGGACAGTAGAAAGACATAAAACAGAAAAAACAGGCTTGACTGACTTCCTGCTTCGTTAAGCTGAGATTAAGTCCCAACCTTTCGTTAAGTGACGATACACAAAGGCTCTTTGTCGATCGGTAACAAAGCAAACAAAATGTTGAAGGCGTGAGCTCCAACAAACACTTAAAAACCTTCTTTCATAGTAAACATGACGCAGAGTGTGGCATTTAATGGAAAGCTGTTTATACGTTTAATAACTTAAACTGTTTTAATTGTAAAAGAAATGAATCACAGCACATCGTATCATTCCTGTAGCAAAGCTTTTGTTTTGGTTGCAGAGTTTGTTTGATTTTTTTTTCCTCCCAAAGAGATATGGAAGTTCTTGGACAGCATCTCATAAACATATTGTAGAGAAACATGCATGTAAAGCGACACGGAGCTCATATTCAGTCCGACGTTGTGGTCCGGAGTTGTTCCGATGACTTTGTGTGGTGATGAAACAAAAACAGCAACGAGGAAATTATAAAGCACCTGGAAATAAACAACCTCTTTTGCAGGAAATTCAATTGCACAGCGATGCAGAGTCCGGTTAGCCRGGAGATCTCTGTTCAAACTCTCAGGTAATAATGAGCCTTTAAAGCCGATCAAAATACAACTTATCTGCGATTCAGGCCGCGTTAATTAAACCCTCATTAGTCCCTGTTTTTAACAAATGAATCTGATCACAATGGAGTCTCAAAAGGCTGGAAGTGATGCGTGTTTTGTCTGTGTGTGTGCGTGCATGCATGAGGGGGTGGCGTACAGGACAGGGCCACGAGGACACAGGAAAAGCACTGGTCCACAAAAAAACAAACAAACAAGCCAAAAGCAGCGTTAATTAAGCCCTCATTAGTCCTTGTTCTGTGCAGCAGAGCAGCAGACGTCACTGTCTTGTCTGACCGACTGTCCAAAGCCCGGAGCTGGTGCGGACCTCTGCAGCAGCGCCCATATACCCCCAGGCCCTTTGTGTTTCCACCTCAGCTGTCACAAACAGGAAGCTGGCTGTTTCACATCAGTTTAGCTGCAGAGAGCACGGGCCCCACGGCCCATAGCTAAAAACGAGTGGCGTGTTGATTTTGGCCGCCGGTGCAAATGTGCGTTGTCAAAGAGCAGCGTGCGCTATCATCRGGGCTTCGAGGGAACCAAGACAGGTGGTTTGATTACAGATGGGGGAAAAAAAGTTGTATCTAAACTGGAGTTTGGAAATAAATATTAAAAAAGGGATGAAGGGAGAGCGTGTGAAGTCAAAACTGCCAAAGTAAAAAYGAGATTAGATGAGGCGGGAAGTGATGGGTACAGATAAAAGTCAACACTACAGGAAGAAAAGAAGGCAGCACTTACTTCTTCCATTACTCCCTCCCCTCAGGCATCTCATTTACCACTTGTGTACCTGCAAACACCTGACCAATCAGTGGGCAAGTTTCATGCACACACRTGCTTTACACCAGGGCTATTCAACTAAATTGCTCCGGGGGCCACAGTTAATACAGACCAACAGCTCAGGGGCCGAACATCCAGCAATTAAAGTTATGTAAATAAACTATTACAAAAGATCTGTTACCTTTGAAATAGTTTATTTTGCTGTATTTAATCATGAAAATGAACAGAACCCTATTTAAAGACCTTGTAAAGTAAAATGTAACATTTTCTTTTTTTAAATATAAATGTCATAAATGGATTGTTGTAAATGAGTACAAATTCTCTCAACTGTAGATATTTGAATAGTAGAGATATGATTCAATTTGTGTAACAAAATATCTGTGTTTCAGGATTTTTTGGTTGTGTCTTAAAGGGCAGCCTTGTGATGTCACAAGGCTTCCTTCAGTATAACCCCGCTCCCTGTTGCTCTAAAGGAAATAAAACATTTTTTTTTCTGAGTTACGGGAATGTTCAGGGTTGTGGGCGTGGTTTAAGCTCCTCCATTGGACACGCCCCCAGCATTCCAGCCYACAGCCAACTGGTATTTTTTCATTACTTTTAACACATAATTTTATAAGGTTAACAGTATTTTTAAATGTTCAAACTTGGCTGGGTGATTTTTAAACACATTTCTGTGGTGTGACAACCTCAGAACACACATTTTTACTTTACATGGTACATATTATGCCTCTTATTTACCACAAAATATTTTGACATCTCTGACTTGCCAAATTTTTAAACCAGTTTTATTTTCACTTTCATAGTTTTATTTTCAACTGCTTGTATTTTTAACTGTCTTGGATGTTAATAGAAATGTTTTTAAACAGCTTGTAGCCAAGATTCTGATGTTTCTGTAGACACCAAACATGTCTCTGTTTAACTAAAATAACAGAGTAATTAAAGTAGAAAACCGGGGGTTTGGGCTTAAGAGATGAATGAACCAATTGGCGGGCCGAACTCTGGTCACTCGCCGGCCGGATGTGGCCCACGGGCTGCCAGTTGAATAGCCCTGCTTTACACACAAGCCCCCCACCCCCCAGGGTCATACCTGGCCTTACGACACCCATATGCAAATGCTCCAAGTTCGGTTTAAGGAACAYCGTATAGGCCTTTCACGCTGGAGCCAACAAGGCCTGACCAACAGATACGTGTACAGGTAATCRTCGTAGGATTTCAGTAGGTGAACAAGCAAACTCCACTTTCTTCAAAMGCAACAAGTGCACCTGAACCGAGCAGCGAGTCGAGCCGATCGCTGTGCGGCGCCTCGCCYGCAGACACGCAGGTTAAGGCCTTGGCACCTGTTGCATGTGAACAACAGAGCCTCAGTGCCTGGGAAACCTGATAACAACCAAGGCTAAGAGCTCTCAGTGGCTCAGGCTGTGTCAACAACAGCCCCCCCCTTTTTTTTTCTTTTTTACTTTAGCCAGGCATGCACACGTATGAGCACGAGGAAAACTCTGCACTTACACACAGGAGGACCACAGAGCAAACTGTCCTCCTGTCCCGTTTAATGTTTTATGGTCAAACGGAGCTGCCTCCATGGCAAACACCTGCCACACTAAGGACTGTGCAAACAGAATAGGGTTTGGTTCAGAAAGTTGGCTTTAATGAGAACGTTGGTTTATTTTCCTCTGTGCCATAGCAGAGTTTTTATCTCAGCAAGTGAGAAAAGACGGTTACAGTTGGACTCGTGTCTTTCTGAGCTCTTACTGTAGGGTGTAAACAGATCCAAGTCAGGTCTAAAACCCTCCTCTATTGTCCTCTGTTCCAGGACACACCCTTCGTCTAGATCACAGGAGAGGCTCATGTGTACGAGTCTTGCTGAGACCCATGCATGGGCTCACTCTGCACTTTTCTGCAGCATTCTCCTTGTTTACTGGTTTGGCAGGTTGAAATAAAGCGCTGTTCATCTACAGCCTGCTGAACACCGTCCTCAACACACCTACAAATACAGGCAAATATAAATGCAAATATGAACCACGTGAAGGGAAATGTCCTCAAATGGTGCCGATTTGACTTCGAAGCTGCTTTTTTTGCCCCCCAGGAGGACCTGAGGGTTGTTCTGTTTTACTTGTAGCAACAAGTAGCCCACATTTGCTGTACGTTATGCTGCCATTTGTTTTGTTTTCCTTGGAGATGACAAGCTTGTATCACAGTCGTCATACTTAGTTAAAAGACAGTAATGGTTCCACAACTTGTAAACTTACAATTTATGAGAATTGTTTTGGATGTTAACTTTTAAAGCCATTAACTGACCTCATCAGGCACTGAAGTGTCTCTAATCCTGTCAGTTACACAAAAACGGGGCTACAATCTGGTGCAGTGATAATGTATTTTCTATAAGATGAGTTGTCAGATCCACAGTTGTGAAGTAACTAAGTACAAATACTTCTTTACTGTACTTAAGTAGAAATTTTGGGTATCTGTACTTTACTTGAGTAATGGTAATTATTTTTCAGACTACTTTTTACTTCTACTTCTTACATTTTCACACACTTATCTGTACTTTTTACTCCTTACACTTTTTTAAAAAGGCAAGAAGCAGAAAGTCGTTCCTTTTTTGTCATTCCAGCTTATTATAAAAAATAAATACTATCCATATAAACTGAGCCTCCTAGATAAAGTGAATTTAACTGTGATTGAATGAGAAGTATAAATATATAAAACTCTGATAGTGTATTAGNCCATATAAACTGAGCCTCCTAGATAAAGTGAATTTAACTGTGATTGAATGAGAAGTATAAATATATAAAACTCTGATAGTGTATTAGTTTGTACACAAACTAATACACTATACACTAAAAAAGTTTGTTGGCCTAGTGGGCCAAACTCACTTGTACAGAGGGCCACTTCAGGCCCCCGAGCCTTATTTTTAAAACAAAAAAATGACATTTAAAACTGATCAACTTTCACACAGCAGGTTTAGCTCCAGCTCTGCACCTTCAGCCAGTAAAAAAAAACAAAACAAAACAAAACAAACATGGCTTCTTTTTGCGTCAATGTGGCACCTCTGTCCAAAACGCACAGAAACGATGACGTCAGTGTGAAATCAGCTGCTCGCGCGTGACAAAATAAGCCCAAACCTGACCCCGGTGTCGGGACGGTTTCTGCGTCTCACCTGGAAGATGAGCACCTTGAAGTTGTTCCTCTTCAGCAGGTGGTTGTGGTTCGCCTCCAGCTTCTTCACCTGGACCGCCTGTCTGTCCAGGCGCTCCTTCACCTCCTTCACGTGCCCGCTGACTTTGCGGGACCTCTCCAGCAGCTTGGACACGCAGGCGGAGGTGCCCAGGTGGTTCTTGGTCAGGCGGGTCACGTCGCCCTGCAGCGTGCGCACGGCCTGCTCCAGGTCGCCCTGGCGCGTCTCCATGCGCCGCTGGTTGTCCTGCACCGACTCCATCATGTTCACCAGTTTGTCCAGCAGCGCCACCACGGTGATGGCGCTCACCTGGCCGGAGCCGCCCCCTCCCGCCGCCGAGGGGCTGGTGGGGCTCTTCAGGCCGAGCCGGGAGAGGGTGCCGGTGGCGCTGGGGGAGGACGGGGCGGAGGCGCGGCTCGCCGTGAAGAGCTCCACGCTTTCGGGCTGCTGCTGCTGCGGGATGGTGTGCGTGCTGCCCGAGCCGCTGCTGGCCTCACCGTGGGTCGAGTCTTCTTCCATGGCGCGCAGGTGGTCCGGTCCGGGGGGGTCTCTCACCTGAGCTTTCACCTGAACGAGCTGCGGGGCGATTCTGTCACCGACTCAGCTGCGCGCTGACTGAAGGCAGGCTGCAGGACTTCTTGGAGTTGTTTCGGCCTCCACGCCCCTCTCTCTCTCACACACGCGCGCGAGCGCGCGCACAAACACTTTGCGAAGTTTCAAAACACCTCCCCCGCGAGCCAAAGGGAGGGGCGAGGTTGTCATGGAAAACCAGCCCCACTGACAGCAGGGCTGGTATGAGAGTGCACACTGCAGTATCGAGTTCCAAACAGCAGTATCGCCAATATCGATCCAATAAGTGCGTAAAACGTTGCCAGGAATCAATCAATCAATCAATCAATCAATCAATCAATCAATCAATCAATCAATCAATCAATCAATCAATCAATCAATCAATCATATGGTAAATCTGAGCATATTCAAGATTTTTTTTTTTACTTTGTATTATTTAACTGATTGTTGGCACTAAGATTTTAAGTATGGATGCATGGGTATCAAAATTTCAGCCGATATCGATATCTGAGATAATTATTGGTCGATAACTGATATTTACCGATATTACACAAACACACAAATTATTCACAATTTATTTATATACATATATACAAATACAATTGTGGTTGTTGTTTTTTTGATAAATAAATGACTACACCACTGATGGCTGTGCCAGCATCACTAACACTATCATGATCAAACAGATACCACTCAACCAAACATAGCCCCCTGCCAAAAAAGAAACACAAAACTAAAAAGTGGGAAATCAGTATTGGACATTAATATTGGCCCAGTAATCTAACACATTCTCACTCCTTCGTCAACATATTGACGCTTTTCCAAAGTTCCCTCTGTGTCTTATTTTGACGCGTCAGGTGACCCCCCTGCGTCAGTCCTTGCCGCCCGGGGCTTTTCCAGGTTGCGCCACCAGGGGGTCTTTGGGTCGGGGGTCTGAGGTTAACATGAGGGATCAGGATTAATGGTTAAGTTTAGGTACTGGGGTCAGGGATATGATGTCTACAGTGAATATTAGGTAATTTTAGGCTTTGGAACACATAGTTGACGTGAATTTCCTACTTTCTAAAAATAATCGTTAATTTTAGGTACTAGGGTCAGGGACAAGATGTCTAAAGTGAATAAAGGTAATTTTAGGCTTTGGGACAGTAGCTTTTGTGTATTTTCTACACTTTCTGAAATCGTGACATCTCGTCAAAAAATGACGCAAAGGGAGTACCCGACGCGTCAAAATCGGACACAGAGGGAACTTTGGAAAAGCGTCAATATGTGACGACTCGGGAGTGAGAATGGGTTGAGTAATCAGACGGATACTAAAAAATGACCAATAATGACCGATACTGATGCCAATGCCGATATATTGTGCATTCCTAATTTTAAGTAAAATTTCTCCGCAAAATGTTCTCTTGTTCAGAAAACCAATATCCTTTTTTGTCAAACTTTATTCTAATTTACGGTTAGCCTATTAGCTTAGCATCCCTTACGGTCGAGCTGGCGCACTACGTATGTCATGGCCAAACGTTAGTGATTGGGTAAATCAAATCTGATCGTTTTAAACTGCAACGTATTCCACTCCTCCAGCAAGCAATCGCTTCTCAATAGCCGAGGTTCCAGCCCCTCTTTATGAAGCAAAGCATAGAATGAGGGTCTGGTTTTTTACCAGGCTAGCAAAGTCTTGATCCCAGCACAGATCCAGTACCAACATTAGTTATAGTATCGATCAGCACACCACTGTGAGCTCTTTCTTGTGTTATAGTGACCCGTGAGCACGCCTGGCTGCATTAGTTAAATTAAACTGAGAGTAACCTTTGTTTACCTTTGTTTTTTTTTTTGTTTGTTTTTTTGCCATACTCCCCTGGATTTGTCTGGAATGAAACACCATAGTTTGTTTCCTCACACTTTTTAATGCATGGATGTGAGGATTGGAACGCCCCTATTTTCCTCCCAGCTCGTGTTTTTGAGGTCATGGCATGGGGGCACACACATGGACATGTGGAAATCCCTGTTTCAACAATGAGCTCATCTGCACCCTCTCTCTCTCTCTCTCACTCACTCACTCAATCTCTCTTTGTTGCTGTAAATCTTTTATTCATAGTAGCCCAACACAATTGTTTTTTTTTTCACTCTCACATGTTTCAAAGTCAAATAAAAGTGGAACGTTGAGGGTGTGTCGCTGTGAGATTGAGTGGATGTCAGTGCACTTTGCGTAATGGCAGAGAAGCGTACGTTTATCTGGAGGATTGATCCTTTTACAAAAGAAAAACAAAAAAAAACAATGAGTTAATATTTTGACAAGCCTCTTTTATCACTACATTGGAGAGCATTCAAGCCCCCACCTGAGTGGTATTGGATTCCTGTGGTATGGTAAAGGATTGATCATCCATTGTCTCTTCAAGCACTCTTGTCCTGAGATTAGCCTTTCTGTAGGGATTGCACAAAGAGAAACCACACCTTTGAAAAACAGTAAAAAAAAAAAAGCTTCTTATCTGCAAAACACTGCATTTCGTGAAATTGATTCTGGACTGTGGATTTATTACGATCATCCATCACAAGTTCTGATTGCAGAATATTTTCTTGGTAAAAAGGTCTTTTTTTGGTTCTCTCCTTTATGTTCTCACCACACGAACCACGGGAGAACCCTGGGAAAATAACCCTGATGAGGAACAACGGAGTCAAGATTACTGGGAACCCTTGAGGTGAAGCTTGCAGCATTGAACATGTCTGACTGGTTGAAAGATTTTTTTTCTTTTCAAATACCATTTTAAAAAGCCTAAACCTGATCCAACGTTACATCTAAGATGTAAAAACCATTCTCTGTAGTTGTAATTTTGCACAACATTGAAACATAGCATCAAAATAGTTGTCAAAAACATTAAAGTGACTGTAGAGGGTCACAAAATGAGCTTTTGAGTGAGTTCTGAGGACTCCGAGGATTGTTGATCACACTTTGGAATGGTTCTTTGGACCTGTCATTACTGTCAAACCACCAGGAGAACACTGTGATTGTACAGTAGTTGGCTGACAGTCTGCATTGTTGCATGCATAAGGCCCAGTTGTGGGTCTTTGGTTAAAATTTTAACAGCGAGTTTGAAAGAGCGTTCAGACGGGGAAGTTACAGGAGCCAAAACCCATCTGACAACTCAGTCTGCTCTGCGCTGCACACACTCAAAGAGGAGCATCATCACAGACATCACAGTTAAAAGAGCTTCTGTGTGTGGTTTTAATAAAGCGGGTGTTTGATTTGCTCCGCCAGCTAGAGTGGGTTTATTCATGGACCAGTTGTATCCCCTTACCTTAAGCCAAGATGCACTGAAGCAAGAGCTGCCAGAGTAACAAAACTAAAAAAAGAGAAGTACCACATATGGTTAGGAGAACTTTAAAGGGATCCCCGATTAGCTGTAACATTAAACTTTATTTAATAAACATATATTTTAATTGTAAAATAAAGACTGTAAAAATAATGTATGCTGTTTAGATTTTATAATTACTAAACTAAAAGTTAAAATATATTACACGGATGGGGCCATTTCATTTACACACAAAGCATTCTGGGTAAATGATGATGTCGACAGGTCATCGGCGTGAAGCTGCTAGCGAGCTATATCCACCCTGAAGGTTAATCTTGGACAATATCTGATGATCGACTCTTTTAAATGAAACCAGAGAGCGTTGACAGAGAGGAGAAGGTAGAAATGACTCAGCCTGGAACTGAAAATATGGATGGAGGACAACAGAGCTGCTTCATGGAAGAACAACCTCAGATTAGCCTGTTAGCTTTAGCATTAGCCCCGATGCTATCACCATACAAATGTATTAGCTCAGGGCTACACATTCTCCTCTCATCACTGAGGTCCTCCATCAACATGACAGAGAGGGGAACACAAAAATGACTCGGTCTGCAACTGAAAATATGGATGGAGGACCTCAGTTTAGTTTGTTTGTTTGTTACGCTAGCAACGAGCCAATACATATATAGCGTCAGTGCTAGCGCAAAGGCTAACAGGCTAAGCTGAGGTTSTTCTTCCATGAAGCAGCTCTGTTGTCCTCCATCCATATTTTCAGTTCCAGGCTGAGTCATTTCTACCTTCTCCTCTCTGTCAACGCTCTCTGGTTTCATTTAAGAGTCGATCATCAGATATTGTCCAAGATTAACCTTCAGTAGCTCGCTAGCAGCCTCGCACCGAGGACCTATCCACGTCATCATTTACCCAGAATGCTTTGTGTGTGAATAAAATGGCTCTGTCCATGTTAAAATATGTTTTAAAATTTTTACAAAACTAAACAGCCTACAGTATTTTTGCAGTCTTTATTTTACAGTTAAAATATATGTTTATCAAATAAAGCCTAATGTTACAACTAATCGGGGATCCCTTTAAAATCGTCATTTGGACCACATCCATGGATTCAGCCAACGAAGATGTAGGCAAGCTGCACTTAGACGTTGGTGCACTTTACTGTAAACAATCATCAGTCATTGTCTAACAAACTCTGATGGAGTCCAACAAGAATAAAACAGCATCCAAAGATGTAAAACCTCCTGAATTTACCTTTTAATTTGAAATATGGGTTGTTCTTCTAAATGCGGGAGGTGCGCTTCTTATTTACAGCTTGCACTGAAACCACCTGTGGAACTAAATATCTTGAGTAAAGCACTGCTGCCACCTTTACTGACATGACAGCTACAGTTTGCCATCTGTCTGTCACACCTCTGCCTTTTCACAGCCACCAGAGTCAGGATGCTCCCAGCAGATTGGGCTACATGTCAACACGTAAGGCTGACACCTTTTTCCCGAGGCCGCTCACTCAATAAGCTTCAAAGCTGTGAGAGTAGCATGAAAGTGCCAGAAAACAAGTTTCCTTCCTCGTCTGGGTTCAAACTCCCGTGTTTCTACGGCCTTGCTCTGCTTCCCCCTGGAGATGGACGCTTGTGTTGACACAAAAGCGTGACCTCTCATTCCTCCTTCACCATCTTTGACTTTTCCCACTTTCGCCCTTGGGATAATGCGGAGTGAAGGGAACAACAATCCCATCCTGCCATTCTTACAGCTGACCTTTTCCTCAAAGCCTTTCTCCTCTTAGTGTAACTTATCTTTTATTTGACTTAAATTCTTTCCTGATGGTA